CTTAGGGTCTTCCTTGTTACCTAGCTTTTCTGGGGCTCTGGATTGTAGCCTGGTTATCATTTGCTTTATATCTAATATCTACTTATGAGTGAGTACATACCATGTTTGTCTATCTGAGTCTGGTTTACTTTACTCAGGATGACTTTTTGTAGTTCCATCCATTTGCCATCAAATTTCATGATGTCATTGTTTTATACCACTGAGTAATACTCCATTGTGTGAATGTATGACATTTTCTTTATCCATTCTTCAGTTGAGGGGCATCTAGGTTGTTTCCAGGTTCTGGCTATTATGAATAATGGTGCTATACATAGTTGAGCAAATGTCCTTGTAGCATGATTGAGCACCCTTTGTATATATGCCCAAGAGTGGTATTGCTGGGTCTTGAAGTAGAATAATTCCCAATTTTCTCAGAAACAGCCATACTGATTTCCAAAGTGTCTGTACAAGATTGCACTCCCAGCAGCGGTTGAAGAGTGTTCCCCTTACTAAATATCCTCTCCAACATAAGCTGTCATCAGTGTTTTTGAACTTAGCCATTCTAACAGGTGTAAGATGATATCTCAGAATCACTTTGATTTGCATTTCCCTGATGACTAAGGATGTTGAGTGATTCCTTAAATGCTTTTAGCTATTTGAGATTGGAAGTAGGCAATATTTTCTACAGATAATATAAAGCAATGGGAAATGAGACTACAGAAGGCAATTCTAAAGGGTGAGTTTTAAAGTGGTATGTGCATATTTTAGTTTCATATTGTTGAGACAAAGTATTTTTCTTTCAATGTTTTCAAATTGATTTATAGAAAAAAAATGAACTAAAGTAGTGAGAAGAGATTATACTAGAAATATTCCAGTGGATTTCTGGATATTAATCAATAATGGATTTTCCTCTTTTTAAGGTATGGCAGGGGATGGCAAGACTGAACTTGTTCAGGGTATTCTATGATGCTTGAAGGAAAATGTGCCTTAAATGAAGTACAGATGGTATAGGGTTAGTAAGTCCATTAAGACTACATCAAATAGGATGTCATTAAAATGTTGGTCTTCACAACTCAGCAGCCACCCAGGTACATATCCATGGCTTTGAGCTGGCACACCCCAAAATCTACTCTATGACCTACTGGAGTACATGAAGGGACTGGTACTGCAGAACCATAGCCATATGGTCTGCATGATTGGGGCAATAGTGGAATGTCTGGGGTAAAGCTAGAGTTTTCCTGCCTTGCCCACAGTCAGGACAAATCTTTGTCACCCACCAGTCCCACAGCCGCTCAGACCCAACCAAGTAAACACAGAGACTTATATCGCTTACAAACTGTATGGCCATGGCAGGCTTCTTGCTAACTGTTCTTATAGCTTAAATTAATCCATTTCCATAAATCTATACCTGCCACATGCCTCCTAGCTTACCGGTACTTTACATCTGGCAGCGGCTCCAGTCAGTGACTCCTTCTGCCTTCCTGTTCTTTTTTTTTTCTCCTCTCTGTTAGTCCCACCTATACTTCCTGCCTAGCCACGGCCAATCAGGTTTTATTTATTGACCAATCAGAGCAACTTGACATACAGACCATCCCACAGCACAGCCAAGTGCAGACCATCTCAGACACCTGCACTCAGGCCTGTGGTCCTAATCATCCTCTATGCGGAACTGCTGGTTAAAGCCACGAGGAACCCGAGAACAGGCTCCCACAGGACATACAGAACATCCCACAGCACTGGGGGGTTTCCAAGGGGGCCTGGCAGAGGAGGCCTTGAACCTGACAAACAAAATAGTATACAATGGCAAGGAAAGCTATTTGGAAAAAAGGGTGAATTACATGATACACAGCAGCTCCCAGTGCCACTAAGAGGAATGAAGAGTTGATGGAGAGGCAAAGATGGAGGAGCACAATTTTGTTGTTGTTGTTGTTTTGTTTGTTTGTTATTTTTGTTTGATTTGCTTGTGTTTTATTAAAATTGAGATTCTTATTTGCATTTATTTATTTTGTTATTTTTTCTTTATCTTTGTCTTATTTTTGTTATTTCTTTTTTAGTTTTCCTTTGGGAGGCACTATAAGCAGATGTGTGAGGATGGGTGGGATTGGGGTGCATGATGTGAAATCCCCAAATAATCAATAAAAAATAAAGTTAAAAAATTTTGGTCATCATCTTATGAAAAATCAGAATGCCTTTAATATTTTATAAGTGAAGATAGTATGCTATGACTTTAAACAATTTTAATAATTTCCTTATAAAATGGATTCAGAGGATGTGGTTAAATTTCTGTCATAGATAATTGAAAACTGAGATTCTTATGTTTGTGAAATCGTACAATGATGTTCAAAATGAAAATGTGAGTAGATTTTATGAAAAGCTGAGTTTAGACAGGCTTTAGAGAAGAAAATGAGAAAGGGGCTGTTCAAGGTAAGATTAAATCTATCCACATAGAAAGGAGAAGCAATTTTGCATATTATTTGTATTTTTTTTAAAGAAGCAAATTATGAGCTCCTATGAAAGCTAGAGAAAAAAAGTAGTTCAGAGCTTTGAGCACTTTGGAAAAATTCTTTAAATACATCATGTTGTGAGTCTAATTAAAGGTGAAAAAATACTTATGACAGAATTAAGGTACACATTGTCATGGTATGGAATCTTTTCACAGTTCTGAAGAGTTCAAGTAGTTTTAGAAAGCATTCTTATGACATGTTGAGTAGGTACATAAGGAAAAGAATGAGGCCAATAGAAGATGGTACATGAACAGGGCTAAGATTATTGTTGTGGAAAAATGAGGTTCAGTCCTGTAGGGAGCCTTTGAGAGACCGTGTCTAAAACATTCCATGATTTTTCAACTGAGTGCCATTGCTTCCAGGATGCTTACGTACTACCTCTAACTTTTCCCTCTTTAACACTAGTGAATCATTACCCTTATAGTATTTGTGATTTTTCCTGTTCACTTGCAAGTGAAAACCTTCAGGCAGAGACTACAAATTATTTGATTTTGAGAAAAAACAGACAAACAGAAACAAACATATAACCCCCCCCCCAAAAAAAATCTTGAAACATACTTTCCTAAGACATTCTGCTATTGAGAGTGAAGAAATGTTGATAGGAATTCAAGATGATTCATTGGACTCTAATGGGTAATGAACTGACAATATTTCCAAAGTATTGACTTAGTATATATATTAGTAAAATAAAAATAAATTTAGTAAATAAATATAAATTAAGCAGGAGAGAACAAAGCTTTTTTCTCCAAGTAAGAAGACTATATTTTAATGAAAATTGGTAATTAAAAGAGGAAACTTCATAAATGAACATATGGATATTTAAAAGCTTAAAAATATTCCATTGTGTACATACCTACCATGTATCTTGATCCATTCATCTACTGAAGAACACTTAGTTTGACTCAATAGCATGAATTTGTCTAGAATCAATACTCTCAGGAAATTCAATGATCCCAGGAAAAATATACTTTGAAATAACTAGGTAGATGATAATATTTTATTTTATTTTTTCAGCAGAGGGACTAAATCAACACTGACTATTTTCATAGCTCATGTGCTGGTGATTTTATGTCAATTTGACAAAAGCTAAAGTCACATGAGATGAGGAAACCCATACTGAGAAAAACAGCTCTATTAGATCTGTCTATAGGCAAGCCTGGAGGGCATTTTCTTAATTAGTGATTGATGTGGTAAGGCCCAGTCCATTGTGGGTAGTGCTACCTCTGGGTGGGTTTTCTGGGTTCTACAAGAAAAAAGGTTGAGAAAGTCATGTAAAACAAGCCAGTAAGCAGCACTCCTCTGTGGTCTCTGTATTAACTCCTGCCTATAGAATCTTGTCCTGTTTTAACTCCTGTCCTGATATCCTTTGATACTGAGCTGTAATGTGGAAGCAAAGGCCAAATAAACCCTCACCTCCCCAAGTTGCTTTGATCATTGTAGCTGAAGTTTTCCTGGTCCTTCCTGGATCAGAGTCAGGACAAATCTCTCTCACCCGCCAGTCCTGCAGCTGCTTGGACCCAAGTAAACACACAGAGGCTTATATTACTTACAAACTGTATGGCTGTAGCAGGTTTCTTGCTATCTAGTTCTTCTCTTAAATTAACCCATTTCTATTAATCTATAAGTTGCCACATGGTTTGTGACTTACTGGTACTTTACATCTTACTTCTCATGGCAGAGGGGGCTGGCAGCATCTCCTGACTCAGCCTTCCACCTCCCAAAATTTTCTTCTCTCCTTACACCACCTACACTATACTTCCTTCCTGGCTACTGGCCAATCAGCGTTTTATTTATCAATCAATCATAGCAACACATTCACAGCATCCCCAGCAGGTCATGGTGTATCATCATAGCAATCATAAAATTGATTGACTCGTAAAGAAATTGGTATATTGATAATCTCTTGGGTTATTTACAGTGTCAGTTGAAATATATATTTCAGTAACCTCGAGTCATGTTGAGATGTTTCAGAAGGTAGAAGATTATTCACAAAAATATTGCTTTGTACTTTTTTTTATTGATAATAGAGACTTCTTTGTTCACCCATTTGGACTTCCTGTGTTGTAATTGATTTCTTTTTAAGTACATTGTAAATATTTTTTTTAAATAAGACTCATTTGGAGAGGTAGTAATTTTTCAGGGAGCAAGATTTTCAAGCAGTGTCCAGGTAATGGGAGATACTTTACAGAGGATTGCTGCATTGAGTTGAATAAAATGGACTCTGTGATCATAAGACTCTAGATAAAACTTGACTCCAAAGTTTAACTAGGGAGATGTTGATGCTATTAACAATAATTGGAGAATTACATTAGAAGGGATGGGGTCAATGTGAATAAATTCCTTTTTTGCTTTCTATACAGAAGAAAGAGATAATAAAGAAATAATGAGCCTTATTCTTTGCTCTCTTAGGTTGGATGTCGATATAACTGAACTTCACAGTTGGATTACACGTTCAGAAGCTGTATTGCAGAGTCCTGAATTTGCAGTCTATCGAAAAGAAGGCAACATCTCAGACTTGAAAGAAAAAGTCAATGTACGTTCTGCCTTATATCTTATGTTTCTTCCTATTTTTGTGCTGCTCACAATTTCTTTTCTTTCAAATATCTGCATTATAGTCACTGTGATTGAAACAATATGGTAAGGTGATGTCTAATATATAAAATATTTTAGATATCAAGAAAAACCAAATATCAGCTTAGAAAAATCTTTTCAGTTTCTTTATGTGTTGGAAGGCTTTTTATATTCTTTACGTAAGCAGTATTTATCTATGAGTAAAAACTTTAGACAACATACCCATGTCTATTTCCCTTCATTGATTGTTCTAGAACTTAGAAAGTTTATAGAATAGAGTAGTGTATAATATAATAGGGTAGAGTAGGATAAGATGATAGAGACCTTGTTTATGCAGGCTCAAAATATTATTTTTATAGTAATCAATACCAATCATGAATTATAACATATTAATCAGACCAAAATATTTATATATTGCATTGGGTCACCTAAAGATGTGCACACTTTTTCAGTACTTACTTTTAGTAGCTGATAGTTAGCTATGTTTATTCCCTTCTGAGATTATATGGTTTGATCTTCACAGCAGGACTTTTATTGCCTTAATAAGATCTGTTCCACCTTCTTGGAAATTATTAGGACTTTGTTTCCTCAACTTCAGCAGTTATAAAGCATTCAATTTTGGTAGGTAATTGACAGTATTCTCCAAAAGACTTTCTTTTTTTATTTGACTTTTGGATTTCCAAGACAAGGTTTCTCTATTTAACAGTCATAGCTGTCCTGGAATGTATTCTGTAGACCAGGCTGGCCTGGAACTCACAGAGATCTGCCTGCCTCTGCCTCCCGAATTTAAAGGCATGTGCCACCACCACCCAGCTCTAAAAGACTTTCTATAAATCAAGTTAAATAAAAGAAACAACTCCAAATAATGAATTTGAAATAATTTTACTTATAAGAATATCACTTACGAGTGTATGCATTAGCATTTAAGTAATGACCTATGAAATCTATTTATATGATTGCAAATATAATTTTACCTCACAAATAACATTTCCATAGACTTGAAATGTTGGAGAATCACAACTCAACAAGATGTTTTGATGAAATATTTTGGTGTTTTTTAAGAATGTCCAAGAGAAAAGATAATTGGTATTAATTTTTAGAAGTCAACATGTATTTATATTTACAACTTAGTTACTTTGAATTTTTTATTAGCTTTATGAGATATTTCATTAGCAGCATAATAGACTATGGTAAATAGTTTCACAAATTATGAAGTATTTTTGTATTATTAATGTTATCATTTTGGAAATAAATTGAAGGATAATATATAAAAATAGCAACTTAGCTAAATAGTCTTACTTTAACATATATGTATTTTAAGGTACATTTTTTGATATGATTTTAAAATAATTCTTTTTAGATAAGATTTCAGTTTTTCTTTGAAAATGTTCTAATATTACAGAGTACATTTCCTCAACTTCTCATCATCATTTCACTCTATCACCCTCCCAATTAAATATCCTCTTTGAATTGTTATAAATAAACTCCCAAACCTAATTTATGCAGCCAGTATGGGCATGATATGGGACCATCCAATGGAGCAAGGGCAGTCTACCTGCAGCCAGGTTTCTAAAGGAGAATGACTCTCCCTATATCAGCAACCATCAATTGCTAATAGCTCCACTGCTAAGTATGGGAACTTGGTAGCCCCTCCCCTGTCCGTACTGTAATTTTGAATTGCTCAATCTTATATGGGTAACCACAGATGCTGTGAATTCATCTATATGAAAGCCATGTTAGGTCAAGAATTCTACATTTCACTGTTCTCTCTTCTTCATCTATAAGCTCTTACATTCTTTCTGCTCACTTATCTGAGGATCCCTGATCCTTATGTGGGAGAATGTTCATATAGATGACTTACAGCTGAGAACTCATGGTTCTTTAAAGATGACACTTTGACCAGATATGCATCTCGGCCTTAACCACTACTTAATCCATAAAAGTGTTTCTGTAACCAAAGTTGAGAGCAACATAAATCTTTCTGTAAAAAATACACAGTTAAATGGCAGTTTGGCAGCATGATCATTTAACATAACACCAAGAGTATGTTCTACCCCAGAGACCATGTTTTTCCAGGCTTTGAGTAGGTTTACAGTATGAGACATGAAATTCCTCCTGTGGAACAGGCCTCGTATCCAGTCAGGAAGCATTTGGCTTCTTCTGTAGCCATCATTCTACTATTATACCAGTAGGCAAAATTTGCCAGTCACTTGAAGTTACAGGTTGACCGCATGCATAGAATTTTCTGGCACTATGTAATTTAGGCCACACTGTAAGCTAGTTGATTTTCCTATGTGCTATATATAAAGTGAGTAGGATTTTCAGCATACCGTCTTACCTTCTAGTCATTATGGACACAACTAAGATAAATGGCAATAGTTTGTATTGTTTAGATGCCTCTTGGCCTCCCTGATCATTTACTCATAGGAGCTATATGTGCCTAGCACTGAGAATTTCAGTTAGTAACTATGTCTTTTGGGAACAGCATTGGCTACCCATGAAAGGTACTTTTGTTCAAACTCCATATATGTATTGTCTGCTTTTAATGGCTTACCAAGCAGAGGATTTCTGTAAGACTTCTTCATACATCTTTTAGTTAACCCATTCTGTAGCCCTTGTTCTCCTCTATCACCTTGCTCAGATCCAAACTTAAACCTTTAGAGTATCCTGCCTTTGCTTGCATATAACCTGTGATTGCTTCTTCCTAACTGGGGCTTGAAATAATGAGTAAGTATGGGGACTTGGTAGACTTTGTGAGTAGAAAATTATCTAGAAAGGTTACCCTCTAAGTTTCAGAGTTCATATGATAAATTCAACCACATATGTATGAATGACCTTAGTAACTGTATTAGTTAATTGAAGTTTTTACTGATTTGATTTCTATACTTATCTGTATATCATCTTACATCTATTTTTTAAAATTGTTTTGATCAAGCATGAAAATGGAGTCCCACCCACAATTTGGGGAACAAAAATTCAAAATTTCCTCTTGTCATTGCGCCACTTTGTAGCTAGAGTTTTCCTCCCTTGCCCACAGTCAGGACAAATCTTTGTCACCCGCCAGTCCCACAGCCGCTCAGACCCAACCAAGTAGACACAGAGACTTATATTGCTTACAAACTGTATGGC